AAGAAAACAGTGATCTTCTATGTTATGGTTGGGGAGACATTGGAAATTTTGAGGATGTTGATAGGATGTTCAGGTAGTTATCGAAATCCCATTATTGATAACTTCCATGTTATGCTTTACTATGTAAAACCTGAAGTTCACTATGACCTACACTTTTAGTGTAACTTAAACTATGTTCAAACATCCGTAAGTATCAACATAGATGTACCTGTACCATATTTTATCCATGCATGTATTATGTATATTGTGCTTAAAAAGTACTATCAGTACTTAACCTTTCTTATTCTTCTCACAGAAATTGTGATTCAACATTTGGGTTGGGGAGTCTCAGTAATGAAGATGATTTGCATTGGGTTTCATCTTCACAAGCAACTGAAGGATCACACAATGTGTTGAAGGCTGATGCTAAATTGAATAGTTTACCAGAGAATTGTACAACTTCTAGTCCAGATGCAGATCCTTCAACTATTGATTCCAACAAGAAGAGTGTCCTTATAAGTGACAAAATAAGTTCCCTTGGCATGAGCAGTAGGAATTCTGGCCTTGCTCACATGTCATCTTTGAACGTATCCAATAATGAATCTGGAAGTAAGGATGACTTGACGCCTAATGAGCAGGTTAGTAAATCTTTCTTCTTCTTAAATCCACATTTTGTTTAGGAATATCTCGATATCTAATTTTGGCACCTAGAAATCGTAATCCTCATAGTATCTTCTAGGCACATTCTATCTAAAGATAAATTTCAAGGTACAGTAAATTGGGATGATAAATAGAAATAATACCTTGTTTTGATAGTGGGTTTGGATAGTGGATATAAAATCCCCAATCTAGATTCAGGGAATGATTGAATAATATCTTTTAAATTGGGATGATAAGAAGAAATAATATCTTTTAGGCACATCTTCTTCTTCTTCTCTTTTTAAATCCATTTTTAAGCTGATTTCAGATGAGAGTTTGCTGTAAATTTTCCTTTGAAATATTGTTGCCATATGGAATTTTTACTATGTTGTCATATTGTATACCAAATTACAGATTAGTCCACAAATTAAGCAATCAAAGCAACTGAGTGCATCTGGAGAAAGAACAGATCATCATATAAAAAATGGTGGCTTTTACAACCAAATTGGTAACACCAAGCAGTTTGTAGACGTGAAGCATCCCTCTAGTGATGCACCCTGTCAACTCTTTTCCCCACTGGATCTTCAGTGGAACAAGCGAAACAGTGAACCTGATTCTGTAAGTTGTGTACAGACAAATGGTCCCTTTATGCATCTCAACTTCAGCAGTTCTTCGAACCAAGTTTCAAGATGTCCAACTCTAACTAGTAGCAAATCTGAAAAAAAGGGGCATCCTTTTTCAACAAACGGATCATCTTATGCATCAAATCAGGCACAGTCCATAGACCGTGGTCATTCATTTGAGGTTCCTGACATTATAATGAATGAGAAGGTAGGAAAGCTGTACCACCAACAGGATACACAAGCCCCAGTCAATAGGATTGTTGACCAAGCTAGAGTGGAAAGACAGATTGTAGTTTCTGATACAGTCATTGCTCAAAAGCAGGTCTGTCAGTCCGAATGGGATGAAGGTCATAGTGTAGGAAAGCAGGCAGAATTAGGTTCTTCAAACGGGCAGGAAAGCTCTTGTGTAAGTTTGGATGAAGTCTCACCAGAAACAACTAGTTTTCGGCAGCTTCAACAAGTTATGGAAAAGGTATAGTAGATGAAAAGATTTTGTGATGTGCATTTTTGCATGTTCCTTATAGGTAATGAGTAAACTGGCTAATTGATCAAGTTAAAACTGCTTGAATTTCCAGTTGGATATCAGGACAAAACTGTGCATACGGGACAGTCTGTATCGTTTGGCTTGGAGTGCTGAACAAAGGCATAACTGCACAAATACGAATAGTGGCAGTAGAGATTATAAAGATGCCAGTAGATCATTGGAGACTGAAGAATCAAGCAAGTATGTTTTCGTTGCTCTGAACGTGAATTTCTTGGTAATATTTATGTTGTCACTGTTTGACCACTTGAAATCCATGATGGGTAGAAATTGAGTTCTTCAATGTTTCGGCTTTCCTAGACACTAGGGATAATTTAGTTGCTTTAAATTGTTACCGTTACGAAGTATTAAAATAGAATCACTTATAATTTGAATTTTGAAGTATATGTCTCTAGGTTAAAAAGCACCGGTTATGGGTTGAAAAACCGTGCTCAACTTAGAACTTTAATCCATTAGGTACAATTTAGAAACAGTTAGCAATCTTGAACATATTGATTGAAGCTCTATTCTTCAGCTACATTCTGCCTGTCTTCTATAAGGTTTTTGTGGAAAGGAACTTATAGATGCAAACATGATAAGAATCCATTTGTAGTAACGAACTACAAACTGTTACACCTTCAGTATTGTGTGTGTTTGTTTTGTCCAATCCTATTTTGTCTTTTCTTTTGCAGGTGCACTAGATATATGGATATGGAAACTGACACAAATCCTATAGATAGATCCATAGCACACTTGCTATTTCACCGGCCTTCAGATCCATCTCTAAGACCTGATATCAAGACCGCATCATTGAAGTCTCATGGCATGGTAAGCATTTGTACGTCGTTTGTTTCCTGCTGAACTTGAAGAAAATTCATGTTTTACAAAAGCCTTATGCTTGTGGACTGGAAATGGCAGATTCACGGCTCCACCACTGCTCAACCCGTGATGTCCAAAAAACACATTGGCCAGGACGAGACAGATGAAAAATCACTGAGCTGATAACAGGTAACATTGGAATTGGATAGAACACTTGTAAAATGTCATCTTTATTTATGATGATTGTGGGTGCGGCCTCAAAACATAAAAGATGATGCGGGTTGATTCTTAGAGAATTGTTTGTGAATACTGAAAAGCTACTTGTCCCCTTTTCTCTCAGTAATACTTCAAAATTTCTGGGTTTTTCCCCCCAAAACAATTTGGCAGCTTCTTTTTCTTTATAAATACTGATTTTTTTTTAAAAAAAAAAGAAAAAGAAAAAAAGCATTACAAAAAGATTCAGGTTGATCTTTTCGAGATATCTAATGAATATATTACAATTGATTCCCTGATCATTGTGAGATGGCTAATTACTCTTACCGACCCATAAGTAGTGGATCTGTTATAATGAAATTTATTAGTGTTACTTTTGATAGTAATTACCACAAGGAAATGATAAATATAATTTTAATTTTTTATATATCTTAATAATGATGTTACAGTTTATGCTATAATTTATGTGTATTTCATATCTTATAATATTATTTCATATTATAAAAATAATAAAATATTTTTAAAATGAAAATTTAAAAATTTCAAACAAAATATACGTACTAAACTATTTCAGTGATTAAATGGATAGTTGTTATCTTTAGAAGTCTCAGGTTTTGCAAGATATTTAAATTTTTATTATCAAATGGTTATGAATTTTTTAAAACAAATACTCCTTTATAATTCCCTAAAATTAAATTAAAAAAAATTAAGGACATGCATATGTGTTTGTTATATAGGTCCTCATGTCGAAGTTAATGATGAATCTAAGTTTTTATTAAAATAATAATAGAATTTTTGTAATATGATCATTTTTTATGAAAATTGAAAGACAAAATTTACTTTTAAAAAAATAAAGAAAATTTGAAACAAAATATAAATATAAATATAGAATTTAAAATTATTATTATAGGAAAAAAATAGATTTTTTACATAAATATACAATTAAAAGTTATTTTTCATTATGACACTTAAAGTCACTAATTTTAGATTGGCACTCTTTTTAACTATATAAAAAAGACGCATTTATAGGAAATATATTATACTAATGTGGTTGCAGGAAACGTTTTTTATTGATGTGGTAGATGATACATTTTGTGGGAAACGTTTTTTTTAGAAGTTTTAGGTCGACAATGATAATGGTGCATTATGTAAATATGAAAATTTATAAGTGTTTAAATATAACATTTATTAAATGATTGAATATAAGATTAATATACGCGTGCTAATGTTTGTGCTTTGTGTAATTATGTGTCTTCGACATATACTGTGTTTGTTATTTTGAACAAAATTTATATATATATATTTATATTTGTAACCTTTTTCTTTTATTTCAACCAAATTCGATCGAATTTTTAGAATAGAACACATTACGTGCAAAACACACTTTATCTATATGGCAAAAGAAAGTGTCAATTCGAGAATTAATCAAATGTAAATATTAAAATGACAATGATTTTTTATTAGGTGATATTTAGGTGAAAAGCCGTTAAAAGCAGCACAGATAAGTGAAAAAGTGTACTTTTTTTTGTACAAGAGCAACTTAGAAAACGAGTAAACGATGTGTTTGCAATGCATTGTAGTAATCAGCTGCAAGTAGGGTCGATATTTTCGGTAAATTAGAAACAATGCCATTATGCCAACCGGAAACGATGAAGAAAACAACACCACAGGTACCAACAGACGACAAATGGAGTCAATATCATAGGTAAATTGTTAAAATGCCAGCCGGGAACTGATTTCTGTTCCATAAATTCGTTTCCTTTAAGGCAAAAAGAGTAAACTTTGCATCAATAAAACAATACAATTCGTGTGTGTTTTTATCATCATAAATTCAGTACGCAAAAGAAACTGAAGAAAATAATACGCTTTGAAGGGTGCTTGATCATTTTATAAAGAAATCGGCTTCAGAAGGTAAAGTAGTAAATGTAAATAATCTCCAGGAAGAAAGAAGAAAGACCTTGTAAAATATATGAATTCGGTCTGGCATTTTAAGACATCAAATTTGACTTCTATCCGTTTGATGCATTCCATGATTGATGCCCATTTATGTAATTTGACTCCAGAGTCTTTCACGGCCTTCAATCGTCTCTCTCTCTTTGTCTCCTCTCTTTCTTCTCGTAATCGCCGCTGTCCCACCAAAAAAGTACTGTATCCATTTCTCTGTACATATTGATTAATTAATTTAGTTCTTATAAAAAGACACAAGCAAACATATAATTCAAACAAGTTTCTTTTGGTTCGTGTTTAGTTTTTGTTTTCAACGCCGGTGAAAAGGGGTTGGCCAGGATGAACACCGTCTTTAACAAGCTACGGAATTTGGACTCATACCCGAAAGTCAATGAAGACTTCTACAGCCGTACACTCTCCGGTGGCATTATCACCCTCCTTTCCTCCCTTGCCATACTACTCCTTGTCTTCTCCGAATTCAGTAAGTTTTCTCTCAACCCACTTTTTCTTCCTTTTCTGTTAATTTTTGTGTATATGATAGCTTTAGAAAATTGGGTTTTTTTGTGTGTGTGTTCTCAATCAGATACCAGATTTGTAAAGGTAAGATCTTTGAGGAAGTGGTTGAGTATTGATGAAAATTTTGCACTATTTTAAATCCATATTGTTTGCCTTTTATATTTGGTCTCCACTTCTAGATATAAAACCTTGAACTATTTGTAGATGCATATTGTGAATGTTTGCCTTTCATATTGGGTCTCCACTTAGATGAGAACCAAAGCACTTAATGCTAAAAGTTAAGCAACTGAGGCTATAATCAAATTGTCACTATATATTTTTCCTCCCAAAAATATGTTTGTTATTGGAACCCTGTGGTGTTAAATCTTGATTGATGATTGTTTTTATTTTGTTGATTGTTCTTTTATTTGCAGCATTATACATTCATACCGTTACCGAGACAAAGCTATTGGTGGATACTTCAAGAGGCGAAACCTTCCACATAAATGTAACTATCTTTTCTCTCACTTGTTAACGGAGTTGCCTAGATTCGTATTCAAAATTTGTTACCTATAAAAGGGTTTTTGAGGTTGCGTACCGTGTGCATGTTTGCGTAATATTGTTGAACTTTCTACTTGATGCTCTACTGATGCTGAATATTCAAAGCATGTGATTGAGCATTTTATATTAAAAATTTTCAGTTTTTGTTGTTGTGGTGGTTTAACTGTTTTAGTAAACAATTTTTCATGCTTTATTTACACCTCATTTCTTTTGGATTTGCAGTTCGATGTCACTTTTCCTGCTATTCCATGTACGCTACTCAGTGTTGACACTATGGATATCAGTGGCGAGCAACATCATGACATAGTACGTGCAGTGCAACAGATGCTCAGATTTATTTTGATTTATTTTTATTAGTTTGCTTGCATTTTTAACCTTGCTATGTTTACATGCAGAAACATGATATAATTAAGAAAAGAATCAATGCTCATGGTGATGTGATAGAATCCAGGCCGGATACTATTGGAGCTCCAAAGGTAGTTGAAATATAATTCTCTAGCCCTTCTAATTTTCTTTTTTCTTTCTCTTCGTTTCTTGGTTTTGAAGGATGGTTTTCCTTTAATAGAAATGACTTATGTAATAGAATGGTGTGGTACAAGGTTAGCAGTATGCTGGATCCCATAATTGAAAGTAAAGTATTCTATTTCTACGCATGAAAAGAGAAGATATGAAAGAAAGATAGCAGCTTTTGGGTTGCTAACATTAATTGAGGGTTTAATTGTTGATAATTAGCCATACAACTTGTCATGGGTAAAGTTTTGCATCGAGGACCCTGTTATAGTTGTTTGATTGCGTTGCTCTCGGATTATTAAGATGTCGCAATCTCCTTTTACCTTAAGTTCCTGACATAATGGCATTTGATAGATGTTGTCACCACTTAATTAAATAGTCTTCATCATGTTTCTTTTTATTTGTTTTGTCTTTGCCTCCAAATTTGGTTCATTTTTGACTTAATTTTCTTCTTTTCTTTTTAGATTGAGAAACCTCTGCAGAGGCACGGTGGCAGGCTTGAAAAAAATGAGACGTATTGTGGTTCGTGCTTTGGTGCCGAGCAGGTATGTTTGATATCAAGAAATCCTTATCTCACTATGTTATTGAAGCACTTTGAATAGCATCACTTAAGTTCTAAGAAGGTTAAGAAAGTGGTTGATTAGTAAATGGCTGGGAATTTTTCCTGAAATATTCATCTATTTATTACTCTAAAAACCTGGATACTTGTTTTGTGATCATTACATTGTGATTAATGTGTAGTTTATTTCTCTAGATTTCGCCTCAGCTCCATATGCAAATCTATTGCTATTGTATTGAAAATAAAGATATTGGAAAAAACTTGAACATTCTATGTCGAATAAAACAACCTAGTATTTTTCTTAAGAAAATTGGTGAGTACTACAAACCATAATAAGGAAAAATATAGGTTGTATATCAGTTTCTGTTCCCTTTTTTAAACCTTAGGAGCTTAAATGTCGCTAAGTTAATTGTTGTGCAATGATCTGCAAGTGGCTAATAGTAAATAGAGTTCTTTCAGAGTTGTTCATGTGTATGATGAAAGTGGTGATTAATGGGATCTCCTTTCCAACTTTGTGGTGATTGGTCCGTATGATCTGGATTAATTAATTTCTACGGTTGTCAGGTTTTTTATTCTCAATTGTTAGCTTGCATTTAAATGTTGGCAATACCGTGTGGTGGAGTCCTCTAAGTAACTCTGAAAAGTAGCCAAAACTCATAAGTTCTTTGAGAGATAGCCTATGCCGTAAAAAGCATGGTACTTGAAGACAAATTATTAGTGCTCTCTGCAAAACTGATAAAGAAACAAATATGAATTACATGACTGAGCAGCTTGTACATCTTTACTATTAGGTTATTGGCAGTCACTGCCGAAGTTATCATGATATAATGATCTCAAGGGTGCTACTTGCTGTATGAACTAAATTGGAGTACTTATACTATATGTAACATCTTAGCTAATTATTTAATTGTTTGTATGCCACTTATGAAAGGTTTTCTCTTTTTCTTCTCTATGGTCCAGTCAGATGATGACTGTTGTAACTCCTGTGAAGAGGTTCGTGAGGCGTATCGGCGAAAAGGGTGGGCAATGACTAACGCGGACTTGATTGACCAGGTTTCATTGCAAGTTTTTTACCCAAGTATTTTCTGGAAAAATTTAATCCTCTTGCTCCCTACATTGGGAAAACAAATCCTACTTTCTAGCTTGATATTTTCTCTGTTTTTTTACATTTTCCTTTTTTGCTTTCCAGTGCAAAAGAGAAGGCTTCTTTGAAAGGATAAAAGAGGAGGATGGTGAAGGATGCAACATTCATGGATCTCTTGAAGTTAATAGGGTTGCTGGGAATTTCCATTTTGCAGCAGGCAAAAGTTTTCATCAATCAAGCTTTTTCTTTGATGACTTGATATCTTTTCAGGACAGTTATAATGTAAGGCTCACCTTTATATTTAAGCTCCTTTCCTAATGAAACTGTTATGTTTAATATATGTGTATGTATATCCTTTACTTTTGTTACAAATTTCAATGGTAATGATATTTTGCATTTGCGGTGTACAAAACAGATAAGTCACAGAATTAATAGATTAGCTTTTGGTGAATACTTCCCTGGTGCGGTAAATCCACTTGACGGGTAATAGTTCTTTTTCTCCTCGGCACTCGAACTCTTGAAAGACTTGTTTGTTCTTTGGTATGTTTCTTTTTAAGATGAAAGTGAAGAACCAAATGCAAGTACTGAAACTTTTTAATGGTTGTTTCATATTGCTATTCCAGGGGACAATGGACGCATAAAACCTCAAACGGAATGTACCAGTACTTTATCAAGGTTGGTATTTTAAAGTGTCTAAGGATGTTCCTTGTTTTTAAGCTCTTTTATTGACAGCTGAACATCCTGTGACTTCGCTTTCATTTTCATGCCCATGATGCCTAGATCATATATATTAACTGCTCTCCGTTTTTCTTTGAAAAAAATAAGAAGATAATTTTGGAGTATGGATCTCTTCAGTGCACCCCGCATACGCTTAACCAACTATGGACCTGTCACAATTGATGTCTGTTGAATTTTGCAGGTAGTACCCACAATATATACCGACATCAGAGGCCGCACTGTTAACTCAAATCAGGTACTACTTGAAAATTCACACATTGAGAATAAGAATCAAATCATTTTATCATGTTTATTGGATCATGTTCTGAGATGTGCTATGATTCCTACTGCACAGTATTCCGTGACGGAGCATTTCATGGATTTAGAGTTCATTAGCCCTAATGCTCATCCTGGAGTTTACTTCTTTTATGACTTTTCTCCAATCAAAGTAGGTTCCTTTTATTCTAATCAGATATAAGAAACTAAAGATGGAGTGAAACACAAACCATTTTGAATAGCTTAGATATTAACTCGAAACCATCTAGAAAGAAGATGATATAACATTGGTTTTCATCTTTCCCTGTGCAGGTGACTTTTAGGGAGGAACATATTTCATTTTTGCACTTCATCACCAATATATGTGCTGTAATTGGAGGTACTATCATTTCTAACTCCCGCTATATTTTCCCGAATCCTTTATTTCCTTCTGCATTTTGTCAATGCTTTACTTGATATGTCATTGTTCGTTTAAAGTGACCAAGATTGTGTTACTTCTCATTTAGGTATCTTCACAGTTGCGGGGATAATTGACTCGTTTGTATATCATGGTCAAAGAAAGATCAAGAAGGCCGAAGTCGGAAAATTCAGATGATTTTTCTGCCTATTATTCCCATACATTACCTTGGCTTTTGACACAGTTTTTGAGTTTTTTCCGATGGTGCCTGCATAAGGATCCATGACGCTGTTTACATCCCAGATTGTATGACAACACATTAGTTCTTGAATCATTGCTGAAACTGTCCAATTTACAGTCTAAAAGAATCTATCACCTTTGCACTTGTAATTTGTAATGGATTTTCTTGTTTTGATTCTTATTAACCCCAATCAGTTCTAAAATCATGGCAGAAATGTCTGAACTGTGCCCCTACTGATTCTATTTAGTGTGGAAGTTCGCAGTGACAATGATCACTTTAATTGAAACACCAAAAAAAAAAAGGAAATGGAAAAGCCTGGTCAATCAAAAATACTGCACTGCTGTCTATTTGTTTATATATTGATATGCGTTCGACACTAGAGTTCGAATTGTCCATCAAACTTTAAAGAAAACAAAGATCACAACAACAAAAAAGCATTTTCTGTTGACCAATATGGTGCATAGTTACCACCAAAACATGAATAGTTTTTAGTTTAGATTCCCCCCCCCCCAACAACAAAACTATTAAAAGCTAAAGGATATGCCACTTGGGGTTATCTTAACAACAATGGAAAGAAGCACATTATTTAGTCTCTATAGGAACTTGTACTCCACCCAGGTCAATTGAGGCAAGGGAAAGCTTCAACCTGATAGCCTCAAATTCGGCATTCTGCCGTTCTTCGGTAGTCAGCCACGACGATAAACATCGATCAATCCAGTCCTTACCACAACTCAAGGGAGGACTTCCCTTTAAACTGCCCATCCTTGAGAATCCTGCGATCCTAGCTAGATTCAAAGCAGAGGGTTCCTCTGCATAACTCTCTAGGATGTCCTTGATGGCACCACACCAGATAGGTCGAGCTACCTTAAGAAACTCATGCAAAACCATCACTGGAAGGTTCACACTTCCGAGTTCGGACTCACCATTCCCACCTCTCCCATGATAGTCTGATCCTCCAAGCTTCAGAAGTTCATATGTATCCGCCAAGTCACTAAATGCTGTAAATCAAAAGGACATGAAAAGCTTTTAACTAGCAGCCGTCTCCTATCAGCCTTGTGTAAAGCTAAGCTCAATATAAACAAGTAGATATTTAACAAAATATGCAATTATGCAATCATGAGGAAATAATCAAGCATAGCATAATTGTATTTTATCCTACCCGAGTACATGGACAGCTAAGTCATGTAAACGCATGCAGGCATGTAATATTAACAGTTCAATACAGCAGCAAACATAATACCTGCCAGTCTTCCATCACTTCTGTAAACCTCCATTCCATGAAGGCCTGCCTCTTTTAACTGTCTTATGATAGGAATAGGGTTTTTTAGAGCCCACGGATGAGCAAGGACTGCTAAACCCCCGGTTTCACAAATAAGCCGCACTGCTTCTTCTGCAAGAGGCTCCCTTCCTCTATAACAGGGACCAAACAAAAAATTCATGTATCATTGCTAAAGGTGAAGAAATAAGCATTGGGCATAATTAAGCAGGAAAAGATATAAAGAAAATATTACGTTGAATAAGCAGGGCCTCCATCATATAAATATCTGGAAAAAGCTTGTTTTAGATTCTCTACATAACCTGCCTCGACCATAGCTCGAGCCACATGCAGTCTCCCAGGAGCCACTCCATTGCCTGCAATCTTTGTAACATGCTCCCACTTAAGTGGTAGCTTGAGTTTATTGAGTTTCAAAACCATGTCTTTGGCACGTAAATATCGTCCCTCCCTAATGTTAGCCAATAATTTTTCCAGCTCCTCAAACCTCATGGGGCCACAGCTGCTGTAATATGCAAGGATGTGCACTGGTTCCTCCATTTCGGGATTTCTGCTTTTGAATCAATAAATGAAACATGAGGTGTAGAAGTACAGAGAAAGAAAACCAGAAAATCTGCTTCTTTCGATTACCGGCTAACTTTTGCAGAATGATTATACAAATAAAAGAAGAAAAATCATTTTATGATGATTATTCTATTAATCAAACACGAACCTTGGAGAAAATATGGTGCTGATCTCAACACCAGGGATTATCTTGATACCAAATCTGCGTGCTGTTTCAACTGCCTCAGTGATGCCAGACATTGTATCATGATCAGTCAGAGCAAGAACTTTCACCTGTTCTGAACACAATGTACTAATCATATTCCAAATACTTTAAAAAGGTATGAAAGAACCAACGTGGAAGTGTTGCCAATTTATTCAATGAAACAGGAGAAAGAAAAAAGATATGAAGATAAAAAATTTATAAAACGATTCAAATAGATAATTCTGCATAAAGGATCCATGAATTCTTCCTAAAATACAAATTTGCTTCATAAAACAAAACCGATTTCCTCATTTGTCTCTTTCTATTCCTCAAGTTCAGATATATTAGGGAATTTGAGCTCCATTCATCCATTCCATAGTGTGTGTACTATATAATAATGCCAAAGTTAAGAAACCAAAGAAAGATAAGACTGTTTTGGTTCAAAAAACAAAGAAAGGAAGATAAGTCTGTTATCATCAGTCTGCTTCTTTATAACAATAACCAATAATTACAAACTCAAGCAGATAGTATATTTTCAGTACAGAAAACAAACACACAAATATAGACATGCATCTGCAGAGGAATTGTTCAAATGCAAAATCAAAACATCACACCAAAAAAGAGAAAAATGTCCGAGTTGAAGGTCTGTTAAAACGAATCTCGCTTAAACCAAAAGAGAAGAATATGAAAACATTTCTGTACTGAAAAAAAAAGACAGATGGAAGAAGGGACAACACCAGCAGAAACTACTAAAAACCTGTTGCTCCAACTTTTCATTTTCCCCCAAATACATATAAACTGTTATATCACACGCGTGTTAGACCAACCTCCTACATCCATAAATCTAATCTCCTCCTTTGAAATGAATGGTGAAAGCATTTAACACCCAGTTTTTGCTGGAATTCACCATCTAAACCTGTATATTTATAGCCTACTTTTACCATTAATAAACCACAAGCTACAAATGTATGAACCCTCATACATTAACTACTAGATAATAGAAAGTAGCCCTTAAGTTTGCAAGCAAGATAAAAAAACAACCAGTAGACAAAAATAAATTAGAAACGGGAAAAACAAGTTAAAAGTAACTTGAGTCCATTTTCAGTATTTTTTTTTCTTCTGAAAAGTTCTTTTAATATCACCATATTCATATGGTGATACTGTTGGATAAGGAATCTTCAAGAGTAGTAATGAATGGTGGGGGAAAGGCAACATAGAAGGAAGTACAAGTTTTTACATGTTCACTCAACTGTAGAAGCAGAAGAAATAGCCATAGCCTTCAGTACACAGACAAATGCCCTTAGCCTTAGGGGTCAAACAATGGGTTTAGTTTTAAACCTCGAAAAAGCAAAACCATATGAATGTACTGTTCAAAAAAGTCAATATACCTAAAGAACAGTAACCCCAATGGATACATAAGAAAGTACCATTTTTACTATTCTATTTCAGCTATTCAATCAAAACCACTATGGGCGGCGAAGCATTCATTCAAATACAGCCAAACCCATATGAGAAATCGATTTTATGGTAAACGAGAAAACAAAAGAAATCTAGACTCACCCCTCTGCCATGAGCTCTCTCAACGAGCTTGGAAGGAGACAAGAACCCATCACTGTGTTTAGAATGGGAATGCAATTCAAACACCACTTTCTCCATCCCTCTCCCCAAACTCTTTTGAACCCCAAAATCATCCACCACCCACGAAGATAAAGCCGACGTAGCAGAAGAAGAAGACGAGGAATTGGAGTGATCCAAATAAACCCATTCGGTCACCGATTTGAAAGCGGAGGCTTGCTCGGCCGTCATCTTCCTTTTGCTACCCCCGCGCTTCTTCTTCTTGTTCTTCTTCTTGCTATTGTCGATTGCTTTGGTACCGGAAATCTTGTTGCTGTTATCGCCAAGACCAACCATGGATGACCTATTTCTCTTTTTTTTCTCTCTTTCTTGGTTTGGTTAAAGAGATTAGACAGATTGGGAGTAATGAAAGTTCAGATACGGAAAAGGCAAAGATAGTGAGGCAGAGAGATGCAGAGGAGGGGGGGCAGTGGCAATGGCTTTTTCTTTGTTAAGCTCGATATTCTATGTCACAGGTGTCCTCTCTTTCCGTTGGTTCGACAGGTGTACTTATGGGTTTTTCCTCTTTTTCCTCCTTATTCATTTACTTTCCAGAGTTGAACGGATAATTATCAGGTATGATGTAACCCAGCAAAAAAAAAACAGTGGTTTTTACCCTATTCAATTTTCAATTTACTTTTTTAAAATATCTGCTCTGATATCTGCATTTTAAAATTATTTAATACCATTTTTTATATTTTAATTGTTGGTTATAAATTTTAAACATTTAGTTATATTAATTTATATATTATAATAATGTAGGAAATAATATTTTTTTACAATATTTATTAATGTTATTAATTTAGGTACTATAATAATGATAATATATAGAATGACATTTCATATATCATATTAAATATTATATTATAGATATTACGTTAGATATTTCAAAGTTAGACAAAATTATTAAAATAATATTCTCTCATTTTCTTTTTATTAAAATAACATTAATAAAATTTTAACTACAAAAATATAATTCATTTCGATCACATATGACAAAAATAATATCACGTGAAACACGTTATCGATATGTGAAAGCACCCGACTTACATGAATGAGGTGGAGTAAGGCAGTTTCACGTCATTGTATCTTTCATTAAAATATCCCGCGTGGTGAAAAATACGTTTTATTAAATATACTTTTTAATTATTAAAAAATAAAATTATAGATACCAAAGTAATAATTTGATTTCATAACTTGAAAAAGCTATTGATGTCAGTTTACATACGTATAATTGGAGTTTTATAAACGAAGGCTAACATTTATGGGTAAGTATTCGATTCAGTAGAATCGAGTTGAAAAATTTAAATTATTTTAATTGATGAATAATATTATAACTTAAATTATATTTGAAATATTTCGAGTCGAGTTTATGAAGTTTGAGTTGAATTATTTAAGTTTTTATTCAAGTTTAATTATAGTTATTTATGATGTTATAATACTAGTATTTGATTCTAATATACATGGTTTTCTATAACCATGTACAATATATATATATTTTATTTTATGTTTCATTCATATTTTATAATAATTAATTTTTATTTATGATAATCCGAACATGGAAATATTATAATTAATATTTTTGATAATGCTTGTAT